AGAGGAGTGACCAAGATGATCAACAATCTAAGCCTTATCAGGAAGGACTTAGGGAGCTGGATATTTATTTTTATCTTGGAGAAGAGATGACTGAAAGGCAACATGATAGCTATCTTTAAATATTTGAAGGAATGTCATGTAGAAGAGGGAGTAAGCTTGTTCTTTGCAGCAGCAGAGATTAGAACATAAAGCAATGGATTCAAATGACAAGAAAAGAGATTCCACTGGGTTTTTTTGTTTTTGTTTTTGTTTTGCTGTTAAGAGCTATTTGATGGGAAAGGGCTGCTTTAGAGGTTGGCGGGCTCTCTTTCTTTGGAGGTCTCTAAACAGAAGTTGTTGTTTTGTTTATTCATTCAGTTGCTTCCAATGCTTCATGACCTCATGCACTAGCCCATGCAAGAGCTCCCTTTTGGCCATCACCACCCCCAGCTCCTTCAAGGTCAAGCCAGTCTCTTCAAGGATAACATTCACACATCTTGCCCTTGGTTGGCCCTTTTTCCTTCCATTTCCCCCCGGCATTATTATCTTCTCCAAGTTTTCCTGTCTTTTCCTTATGTGGCAAAAGTACTTCATCTTTGCCTCTAATATCCTTCCCTCCAGTGAGTAGTTGGGCATTATTTCCTGGAGGATGGACTGGTTTGATCTTCTTGTGGTCCAAGGCACTCTCAGAATGTTCCTCTACAGTTCAAAAGCGCCTGTCATCCTTCGCTCAGCCTTCCTTATGGTACAGTTCTCACATCCATAGGTTACTTCCGGGAATACCATTGCTTTAACTATGCAGATCTTCATTGCCAGTGTGATATCTCTACTCTTTTACTATTTTATCGAGATTTATCATTGCTCTCCTCCTAAGAAGTAAACATCTTTTGATTTCCTGGCTGCAGTCTGCGTCTGCAGTAATCTTTGCACTCAGAAATATAAAATCTGTCACTGCCTCCACGTTTTCTACCTCTATTTGCCAGTTATCAATCAGTCTGGTTGCCATAATATTGGTTTCTTTGATGTTTAGCTTTTATAGAATCATAGAATCACAGAGTTGGAAGAGACCTCATGGGTCATCCAGTCCACCCTCTGCCAAGAAGCAGGAAAATTGCATTCAAAGCATCCTTGACAGATGGCCATCCTGCCTCTGTTTAAAAGCTTCCAAAGAAAGAGCCTCCACCACATTCTGGGGCAGAGAGTTCCTCTGCTGAATGGCTCTCACCATCAGGAAGTACTTCCTAATGTTCAGATGGAATCTCCTTTCTTGTAGTTTGCACTTTCTTCTTTCACCTTGGTTAGAAGGCTCCTCAGCTCCTCGCTTTAGCCATCAAAATGGTATCATCTCTATATCTAAGGTTGTTAATGTTTCTTTCAGCAATTTTCACTTCAGGCTTGGATTTATCCATACGCTGCATGATGTGTTCTGTATACAAGTCGAGTGAGAGTATACAGCTCTGCCGTACTCATTTCCCAAACTTGAACCAGTTGGTTGTTCCGTGGTCTGTTCTTTCTGTTGCTACTTGGTTGTTATACAGATTCCCTAGAATCAGAGGTCTATGAGCATTTTTCAGCAGTGGCTTAGCTGTGTATTCTTCATGGCCCTTGCAGTCCCTTCTGACACGAAGATTCTATGATTCCATGCTTAATTTTGATTATATATTTTCTCCATTAATGCAAATGAGATGATCTGCTAACACATTCCTTCTAAATTCCCTTTTCCTTCCTTCATGCCACCTAAGAGCCCTTTGGGGAGACTGTTACTGTTGACTGCAAAATAAACCTTGAAGTTATTATCCAGCAGAGTATTGAGGAGAGATTCTGCACACCTCTTCTATTATTGTCTAAAGAATAATTGAAGGGTTGCATTAAGATTCAATGCAAATTTTTATTGTTCACCCTTCATGCTAATCAAAAGAAGAAGCACAATCCACCCCTTCCAAGAAGAGAAAAAAAGAACCCCCCCCCCCCCACAGTGCATGTTAAGTGCAAAGATACATTGTGAAAATAGGTGTCTATGTGGGAAGAAAAGGGAGCACTTTCAAAAGCAGTGTGTTTGAAGATTCACATTCATAGGGGCTCCAGCTGTTTTCAGCCAGTTTTGCTCCCCTCAAATAGGAAACCAGCATCTCATATTGATATATTGTTTGATCTTAAAATATTTAAAATCTGCCCTTCATCCTTGCAGATACCCAGCTGGTGCACAGGAGTATGAATTTTTAAAAAAGGAACACAGTACAATATGCCAACAATGTGAAGCCTCAAGTCTGTGTTATTTATATTTTATTTATTTAATCAATGCATATACTGTACCTGTGATCATATATGAAATGATACCCCAGGGCAGTCATGGGATCTACAAGTGGGATGACCAGACCTCAGAGCAGTCATGATACCTACAAGTGGTCTGACAAGTCCTGCTCTTATCTTCAATCACTAATGCTGAGGACTTTAACGAAAGATTGGAAACAACTGATGGTTTGGTTTTTTTGGGAGGGGGTTGCAAAAAAGAACAGAGAAGATGTTAATGGTACAGTTTGAGAATTTGTAGTTTAGAACAAGAAGTAGAAGTGTGAAGTACTGGAATTGTAAGGGAAGTCAGATTTTTATCTACAACTTTGGTAGGGAACTTGGAAGAAAACTTTTAACTTATTTACACTCTCCCCCCCCCCCCATCTATTTTATGTCTATTTAGTTTTCTTCTTCTTACACGTATAGTATTAGCCATTTGAAGTTTAATAATACTAGTTGGTAAGTAGTAACATGTGATATGTCTTTGTATTATATGTATTACTAGCTGTACCCCACCACACATTGTTGARGTCAACCTTCCCACCATCTTTCTCTCCTTCTTTCTTTCTCTCCTTCCTTTCTTCCTTCTCTTCCTCTTCCCATCCTCCCCCCCCCTTTTCTTTCCCTTACTCTTTCCCCCTTTCTTCCTTCTCTACCTATTCTTGGACTGCAACTCCCAGCAGTCCTCCTGATTGATCTCTCTCTCTCTCTCTCTCTCTCTCTCTCTATCTATCTATCTATCTATCATCTATCTATCTATCATCTATCTATCTATCATCTATCTATCTATCATCTATCTATCTATCTATCTATCTATCTATCTATCTATCTATCTATCTATCTATCTAATCTATCTATCTAATCTATCTATCTAATCTATCTATCTAATCTATCTATCTATCTAATCTATCTATCTATCTATCTAATCTATCTATCTAATCTATCTATCTAATCTATCTATCTAATCTATCTATCTAATCTATCTATCTAATCTATCTATCTAATCTATCTAATCTATCTAATCTATCTAATCTATCTAATCTATCTAATCTATCTAATCTATCTAATCTATCTAATCTATCTAATCTAATCTATCTATCTAATCTAATCTATCTATCTGGAGGGTTGCTGGGAGTTGCTGTCCAGGAATAGGAAATTGGAAATATGCAGGGATTGGGATGCTCTCAAAGAAACCCAAGGAGAAGAAAGCTTGCATCTTGGAAGAAGTGAATTTGGATTATCCACCTCTCTTAAAGGGCCTATTCTAGGTGATGTTGGGTGCTGTAGTCTGGAAGAGAGTGTGGATATGCTACTGTGTGTTTTGTTTGTCAGGGGAGTCGTTTTTGCGCATGCGCTGTAGCATCTTTTTTGCTTTTTTGCCTTTTTAAGTCCCTTCTGCTATGTTTTTTAGTGTTTTTATGAGTGATGGCCACTCATTGGCCTGATAGATGTATTGTGTCCAAATTTGGTGTCAGTTCATCCAGTTGTTTTGAGTTATGTTAATTCCACAAACTAACATTACATTTTTATTTATATAGATTTTCACGATTGTATACAGATTATTTTCTTTAAAAAGTACTCCAGTTGCCCTCCCTGCCATAAAACATATTAATGTATTGTTGAAGGCTTTCATGGCCAGAATCACTGGGTTGTTGTGAGTTTTCCAGGTTCTATGGCAATCTTCCAGGAGCATTATCTCCTGACATGTTGCCCGCATCTATGGCAGGAATCCTCAGAGGTAGTGAGGTCTGACCTCACAACCTTTGAAGATGCCTGTCATAGATGTAGGCAAAATGTCAGGAGATAATGCTTCTGGAACATGGCCATACAACCCAGAAAACACATAACAACCTAAACGTGTTAATGTTGAGGACTGATAAAAGGGGGATTTTCTATTGCTATGGGCTTACCATAGAGATGGCATGGCTTCTCATTACTAGCAAACTCAAATCCAAAGGCTATGTTATGAACAATCATATTCGTACTGAATATCATAGGTTACTGGGAGATTTGTGTAGGGGAGATGTTACTTCAGGTAACTTGAAGTACGTTGCATGGTTCTATTGAGCAAGAGCACATTGCATGACTGCAATGCTGTTCTTTTAAATTCCTTGCAATATTTCTGGAAGCACCTGGAGCAAGTGAAGTCATCAGGGGGTCATTTCCTACTGGGGGAATAAAAGGATTAAGCTGCTGTACTCCATAAAAGCTTCTGTCACAACAAATTGGATCATATGTAAGATGCCACATGATGCGCTCTCCTTGGGTAGTGTTCAGCTACCCCTAGGAGCTCTCCAAGGTCCTTCAGCATTTGACTTACACACTGTTCTATGGAGATCAAATTCTTCTATCTACTGTCGGTTGCCAGCAGTTCCAAGTCAGTTCTGCTTGGAGTTGACTGGAAGCACCTTCCCTTCAGATTCACTAGAACCAACCAGTCTTCTTCTGTCTTATGAATTAGGATATACTTCAGGAAAGAAATAAAATGATAGTCCTGCAAGGGATGAATTATAGTGATGCTGAGGTGATAATTCAGTATTGTTGAAATGGGAGAAATTATAATGCTTTAATGTATTTTCATTTAATGTATTTTATCCTTGTTTTAAACCCTTGGAGACTCTTTGGGTGAGAGATATATAGGAAATATCAAACGTACAATTCGTTACTTGCGTATAATAAAATATTTAGAATGGGGAGAGAACCCCAATGAAAGAGATTCTTGTACTTACAGTTAATTTGGTGCCTCGAATGAAATCCATGATTGGCAAGATTCTTTTCCCTATAGTCTCCAGATGTCTTCCTGCCTCTTCTTTAGTGAGAGGGCTGAAAGGAGCTTTGTGATCTGGAGGAATAAAAATAAATTGCTTCTGAAATGTGCTCTCTCTCAACACTGCTTGTCATATGAAGAGAACTGTTGCTGTTGTTGTTTCATCATAACCAATGCCAGCATTACTATGATGTTGCAGTATGGAGTACCCCATCCACCCACATCTGGTGGTATACAGTACAGCTCCCATATCCATGGAAGATAAGTTCCTGAATTTACCATGGAAACAGGAAACAATGGAAAATATGGCAAATCCTATTCATTTGAACAGCTTCTACTAGAATTTACCAAAGAGTTGTGCTGGAGGGCCTAGAAAATTTTGAGTGATGCACATTCTCTAGGAATTTGCTAGGTTCTTAAGCACAACTCTACAGTAACATCTGGCAAAAGGATACTATAGAATTGCCTATAACAGCATTTCTCAACCTGGGAGTTGGGACCTCGGGGGGGGGGGGGGGGGGGTCATCAAAGACCATTAGAAAACACAGTATTTTCTTTGGTCATAGGGGTTCTGTGTGGGAAGTTTGGCCCAATTCTATCATTGGTGGGGTTCAGAATGCTCTTTGATTGTATGTGAACTATAAATCTCAGTAATTACAACTCTCAAATGTCAAGGTATATTTTTCCCCAAACTCCACCAGTATTCACATTTGGCCATATTGCATATTCGTGCCAAGTTTGGTCCAGATCCATCATTGTTTGAGTCCACAGTGCTCTCTGGTTGTAGACGAACTACAACTCCAAAACTCAAGGTCATTGTCCACCAGACCCTTCCATTATTTTCTGTCAGTCATGTTCTGTGTGTCAAGTTGGGTTCAAATCCATCGTTGGTGAAGTTCAGAATGCTCTTTGATTGTAGGCTAACTATAAAACCCAGCAACTACAATTCCAAAATGACAAAATAAATCCCCCTACAACTCCACCAGTATTCAAATGTGGGCGTAGTGAAAAATTTGGTCCAAATTTGGTCCAGTGAATGAAAATACATCCTGCATATATTTACATTATGACTCAGTAGCAAAATTACAGTTATGAAGTAGCAGCAAAAATAATGTTATGGTTGGGGGTCACCATAACATGAAGAACTGTATCAAGGGGTCTCAGCATTAGGAAGGTTGAGAAACACAGGCCTAGATGATCTTGGAAGTTCCAAGAGAGGGCATATTTTGTCAGAGGCAGGTAGGTGAAACTGCAGGGTTCTGTAAGTAGCACTATGATACAGACAATCTTCCATGCCTCCTCCCCCCTGCAAAACTTGGCCCTGAGACAGGATTCCTCAAAGCCAGAGATGGCCTCTTCTGACCACAGTGCTGATAGCTAAGTTCAGCTAGAAACTCCTTATCTTCTGTCTGGCTTTCATGCACAGAGTAGGCAGGAAAGTGATCGCAGTAGACCTAGTTCTCCTTCCACTTGAGGGATGAATAGACTTTTCTTGCTTGTTGGAACTTTTACAAGCAGTGCTCGATGGCCTTTTATTACTGACACTTTAGCTATCAATTCTTGAACTGGAAGGAGATTGGATCAGGTGGCCCATGGCATACCTTCTAACTCTTTGATTGTTACCTGAAAATGTGGGCAACTTCCTGCAAGACATCTTTTCAAGAAATTTTCCAACTTCTTTATTTCGGAAGCCCAGCGTTAGCAAATAAGTTTGGGGAGAAGGGCAAGACCAGTCAGCTGTCTGAGGCAAACTGTGTAGTCCATGAGGATCTGAAACATGAAAGAAAGAGGAACTTCTGTTATAGTCGGTACACAGGGAGTCATTTAAATTTATTTCTTTATTACATGTATATACTGATTTTCTCACCCTAAGGGAACTCAAAGTGGTTACCAATATTATAAAGGCAAAATTCAATGCTGTACATACATGTGAAAACCAAAAGATAACAGCAGGACAATAACATATAATTATAAATTAACCTAACCAAATTAAAACATAAACATAAAATAACATTGAGCCCCTGGTGGTGCAGTAGGGTAAACCTCTGAACTGATGAACTTGCTGACAAAGGTCCCCAGTTTGAATCCGGGGAGTGGGTTGAGCTCCTGCTGTTAGCCCCAGCTTCTGCCAACCTAGCAGTTCAAAAACATGCAAATGTGAGTAGAACAATAGGTACCACTCCGGCGGGAGGATAATGATGCTCCATGCTGGCCATATGACTTTAGAGGTGTCTACAGACAATGCTGGTTCTTCAGTTTAGAAATTGAGATGAGCACCAACCCCGGAGTTGGACACAACTGGACAACGTCAGGAGAATACATTTATTTTCAACTTAACATTTAGAGATAAAGCATAAAAAATTAAACATTGATAATACAATAACGTTTATATTAAAACCCACCGATAAACAATATGATTTAAAAATAATTATTAAAATCACTCCATCCAAAATCAAGTCCATAGTTGTTTCATTGGTCTGTTCACTACTGCTTATTATGTTATTGCACTATGAGTTTTGCTGGTCACACAACCACATTTTTACTTCCTTCCTGAATTAATAAGTAACCCTATTTATTTCATTTCCCTGAACTTCAGAAAGAACTTTAAAAGCAAATGTGTGTGTGTATTCGGTAAAAAATAATGGAGACTAAATCCTTTAACAATCAATGTTTGTTCTGCTGGAATAACTATGGATCCTCCTTTTTTAAGTTGTAAGTATGTCTTTAGCTATATTCCTTTCTGTGAAATCTCTCAGGGCTGCACATAATCTAGGGAAGTCAAGGCCAGAATAAGCACTGGGTTGGTTTGCTCCTAACATTTTAGAAGGCCATAGCTTCAGGTTAGCCAGCCACTTTATTGTTGTGGATATCTCCTTCTAGTTTTTCTTATCTCAGTGCACATTCTCTATCACTTATCCTTTTGTCTTCCTTTTTCACCCCTTATCTTTTCCCCCTTTCTTATTCCCACTGCATTCTGTCACTGTCACAATTTTTCAGGGGAATGCCTTTCTTTCTCCTTCTTTCCAAAAATATCCCATGTGATCAGATTTAAGGGGAGAAAGGCTTCCTTTTGGATGAATGTGTCTCCCAGCCCACCCCCCATGATGGTGGTACAGACTGTAGAGAGGAGAGACTAATGTTCCCTTTGGCTATTACCCCCTTGAAAACTGACCTCTTCACTGCCCTGAAATTAGAAATAAAAGGTTCTCATTGACCTGCAGGGTAGGTTCAGCCACATGTTTATGGATATAACGGATCCCCTTGGGGCACAAGAGGGCTGCACAGGGAAGGGCAAGCTCATGCCTTATGTGTTTCAGTGTTTTTGTAAAAATGCACTGTGTACAGCCTGTAAAGTGCAGGAAAAATATCCTCAGCAAGACATAATAGTGCCATAGAAGGAAATGGTTATGCAGAATGTACAAGTGTTGCTCTTGAAACAACTGTACATGTGGGCAGTGACTGCGTAGTTAGGCCTTCACTGCCCTCTCTTGTATTGTTTGCAACTTCACGGTTACAATCCCCTGCCACTCATTCTGCTGCTTGAGCTAGATGCCTTCGCCTGACCTAGCAATCTCTTTGATCAGAACAGCAACCCATTCCAGAAAGACATTCCCCAGAAATGTTTGCTAGGGAGGAAAATCCACATTGCACAATAATTGCAGCCTAATCACTCTTTATTTGCCATGGTTACAGAATGCTAAGCTAAAAAGCATTAGGCTGCATCTGCACTGTAGAATTAATGCAGTTTGGTGCCACTTGACCTGCCATGGTATAATTCTATAGAATCCTGGGAACCTTTCAAAGTCTTTAGCCTTCTCTGCCAGAGTGTTGGTGCCTCACTCGGGATTTCAAAGCATTGAACCATGGCAGTTCAAGTGGTGTCAAACTGCATTAATTCTACAGTGTAGGCGCACCCTCAATATATCCACTACTAAAGAGTTCTTAGTGCATTCACCCAAACTACTCTCTAGCAGAGAACACTAAAGAACTTGCCAAGCTTCCATAGGGTAAATCATAATATATTATACTTTGTTTATATTCCACTCTATCTCACCGGGTGGACTCAGAGTGGATTACAGAAACATACATGACAAACATTCAAATATTCAAGGCTTCCGACTTTTTTCATCTCCAGCAGCTGGAGGCTGTGCTTGACTCAGCCATGTGGTGGTGCTGTTGTTTCAGTTTCTATGCCGAAGAGGCTATTGTCCTTGGACATCTTCCTGGTTGAATTTTTGCCGGCTTTTTTTTCTGGGGTGTCTTTTAACTCTCCACCAAAGAGGTACCTATTTAGCTACTCACATTGCTTTGTTTTCAAAATGCTAGGTAAACAGAAGCTAGGGCTGATGACAGGAGCTCACCCCACCCATGGCTCAAAGATTTACAATAGCTGGCAGTTAATCTGCTGTGCTAGCCATGGCCCCTGGCAGTTATAAAAGGGATACAAAAATAGTTTCAAAGTGTCATAATTGTGCAGTGCGGATACATCCATAGTCTCAACATTCAGTTTTTCAATGGATCCAATCAAAATCTTCCCGTCTCCTTTTCAGAGATTTCAGTTAAACAGACAGGATGCTGTTTTACAACTCCTTGAGAAGTGTTTTATGTTACTGAGTTTTAATTTTAATTGCTGCCTTGTTAGTTTTTGCTGTTTCCGAGGCCTGCTCAATTTTGACACCTTAGACAAAGAACCCAGTGACACATCCCACACACACTGGATTACAAATTGAATCTTACACAGGATAGCATATTTCATCAACACAGAAGGTAAGAGCAGAGCTTAAAGGGTACAGGAGAGCTAACCTGGAATAGGTAGTTATACCCTTCAGCATCTCAATCTGAATACTACCCCTGAAATCTCAGTATCTTGTGTCTGAAGCAGCCATCTTATTCTACCAAACTATAGGGCTTGGAAACTGTTTTCTTAAACAATATTTTGTGCAGTTTCTCTCTAAACCATACATAAATGAAAAGGTAAAATCCATTGTTCTAAAATGTTCAGTTCTAGTTGGACTCCTCTATTGCTTATAAACATTAACTTTTTCACCTGTATAGATGTATTCCACATAGTCAGGGTGCTTTTTGGTAAATGCTTCCTTCAGCTTCTCTATATTTTCAGCCTTTATTTTAGTTGCAAATGGTGTGTACATCACCGAAAAGCATTCGGCTCTTGTGATGGCTTCTTCAATCATAGCCTAAAAAGGGGAAGAAAGATACAGCACACACTTTGCATTTTGTAAAATACGTGAGCTGCCATTAAAGAAGAAGGGAGGGAAAGACAAGAAGAGGAAAATGAAATATAATTACCTTCATGGATGATATTTCCCCCTTAATAATTGCACAGTCATGCAAAGATAACATATTTTGGGTCTGAATATTAATTAAGAGAAAAATTCAAATTAGTTCCAGAACGCGTTGCCTATCTTGCCCTCAGAAAGTCAATTTTAATGCAGAATAAGAAGATTTGTAAACAGTTTCCTCTGTGGTGGGTCTAGGCCTTCAATAGGAAGAATAACGGCATTAGAGAAATTATCTCAATGATAATAAGAAAATGAATTTTACTTTCTTTGAAGGTTATATCTACACCACCAGAGATTTTGTTCAAAGCTTGGAGAATTGATTTCAATTTGAGTTGTTTCAAATGTGGATTACCCAGGGACGAGGCAGTGCGTGCAGGATATAATAAAAGGGCAAACAGTTTATGATCTACATACAACTACTTTTACGGTTGCCACGTATGGTGAAAAAATAGGAAATGCATTTCCTGAAAACCAGCAAACAATAAACTTGGCATGGATTTGCATGCGAATTATATATTGATAATTTGCATGCACAGACACAAATTTAGAAATAATTACTATAATTTTGGTAGAAATTACTGTTACCTTTTCACTATCATCTGATCCAAATGGGGAGAGCTGTGACCAGGGGTCCTTCCACTCTACTCAATTATAACAAACATCATTCTACTAAATGTGAGAACTGAGCAAGATGGCTCTGACTCCAAACAAAATATCACACACCAATATAATTGGAACAATACATGTCCTAACTTAATTGTTTACAGCTGAAATGGGTGGCCCAATAGATGATCCTGGATCCAGGCACTGACCAAACTAGCTGCTGATTGATGAGATGGTGATCCAACCTGCCACCAGAAAACCCATAGGATGATAAGGGACACCATGGCTGCATGTACACTGTAGAATTGATGCAATTTGACATCACTTTATTAATTAATTAACTGCCACAACTTAATTCTATGGAATCATGGGAAGATATTTAACTTTTTTTTTTTTTGCCAAACTGTGCTGGTGCCTCACCAAACCAACTCACATGATTCCATACCACTGAGTCATGGAAGTTAAAGTGGTGTCAAATTGCATTCATTCCACAATAAGCTACCCCACAAGGCTTAGAATCATAGAGTCATAGAGTTGGAAGACACCTCATGGACCATCCAGTCCAACCCCCTGCCAAGAAGCAGGGAAATTGCATTCAAAGCATTCCCAACAGATGGCCAGCCAGCCTCTGTTTAAAAGCCTCCAAAGAAGGTGCCTCCACCACACTCCAGGGCAGGGAGTTCCACTGCTGAACAGCTCTCACAGTCAGGAAGTTCTTCCTAATGTTCAGATGGAATCTCCCTTCTTGTAGTTTGAAGCCATTGTTCCGCATCCTAGTCTCCACAGCAGCAGAAAACAAGCTTGCTCCCTCCTCCCTATGAATTCCTCTCACATACTTATACATGGCTATCATGTCTCCTGTACATGACTATTATGGGTTGCCATAAAGGAGAAAGTTGACAAAGAGTGTTCCACCTGAGGTGGTCCAACTAATTACCATAGTTTCTTCCTATGGGATTCTGGGATTTGTAGTTTAGAGAGAAGTATTTACAGTTATCTCCCATAGAGCTTCAGTGCCCTGGATTTGATAGCCATGGCAGTTGAATTTTTGAGTGTGAAAAATAACTTCGCAACAATAAGGACTAGGGACCTTGCTCTGTTTTTGGGAAAAGAACTCTAAAGTTATCTCAGATAATTGAGAGGATGAATTCTGCACCTATCACCACATTTTAGTGCTTTGCCTAGAGCAGAGAATGCACATAGCCTAGAGTGCATATATCCAGAACCCTTAACAGTGTCTGGAAGGGACACTGGATTTGCTGTTGACACATGCCAAGTGTTTTGTGACTTTGAGAATTCACGCATGAAATTGGAAACACAAACATTCTGCAGGCATTCTAAATTAAGATACAGTCAACATTGGAGCTGGGATGGGGGTGGTAGTAAGGAAGTGGCTAGCAAACGTTAAATCTTATATACACATACACCCAGCCAATAGCCATGAGAAAACAGTCACAGAACACTGGCTAAAAGCAATAGCTTTATAAACACACCTCAAAAAGCAAAGAGCATCTTTAAACGAATCTGCTATCTCTGCCTCAAGTTCCACACACAGACAATTACTTAAAGAGGTCTTTAGAAGGCCAGGAAGTAAAGAAGTCTAATCAATATCTTGCAGATTCATTTTCCCTATACTATTAATGTTCTGATGTAACCTAAAAGATCATCCAGCAGAACCTGGAGAAGTTACCTAGTCCTCCAGTCAGAACAGCCATTGGAGATGCTAGCTAAGGGATTTTGGTAACCAAAGTCCAATTTCTATGTGTGAAGTCTGGATAAGAAGAAAGCTGATAGAATGTGCCAGAGGAATGTTCTAAGGATATGATGTATGGCTGATAAGATAAATTGACCCTAGAGAGAATCAGGTTTAGTTCTATGTGGTTAAACTTTGGAACATTCTGAGACTCACTTGCACTGGTGATAATGGTTGGTAACAAGAAAGGTAGTAGGAACAGAGAAAGAGCACAATATAATTGGATAGGCTCAATCAATGAAGCCATAGAAGACCTAGGCATGACAGTTGACAACTGTGGCTCTTGGAGGTCTTTTATGCAGATGGTGGCCATAAGTTTAAGTTAATATGACAACAAATAACAAGTTCAAAGAAGCAACATTTCTAAGCTTTGCCACACATCTACATGTATATGTGACCTATCGGCAGGTTGTTGAACTTTCAAGGTTTAGACAACCACACACACACAATTCCAAAGATGTGGAAGAGCACTGCCTCCTAAATCAGTCCAATCATCATGTTCCAAGGCCATGGGATAATGACTGATTTGGGGAAAAGGATTTAAAATCAGAGGAGAAATGAAATGTCACAGCTGGAATCATAAAGAAATGTATCCACATTGCAACGTCGTGTTGTATGACTTGCAGATCCTACCAGCAGAGCGCCAAAGTCTTGCTCCATGTACGCAGAGCTTTGAGAAATTCAAGCAGTACAGATGTAGGCTTTGTATGTTTGATCTGCTTTCTGTCTCTTTTTATAGGGAAAACACAGCATGAAAACAGTTCATCTACATACAGCTTCCATCATGTATAAATGAGTGGTGGGACGCACGTGGCTCTCCAGATGTTGTCGCACTGCAAGTTCCAATACGCTTGGCCCTTAATTTTACTGGTTAATTCCAACCCGCACTGAATGGATTACTGAATGGATTATTTATTTATTTATTTATTTATTTATTTATTTACTGCATTTGTAGACCGCCGTTCTCAGCCCTAGGGCGACTCACAGCGGTGTACAACATATAAAAACAATTTACAATAAAGGCAATATCACAAACAACAATAACAACATCACTATCAATACTACAATTACACTAAATCATTCGCGGCGTCTCATCATAGAATCACAATCCAATCTCGTTTTCCATATTCCGTTCCAATCATCATTGCCAATTGTTGTAGCACTCAATCAAACGCCTTCTCAAACAACCACGTCTTTAGTCTCTTGTGGAATGTCATAAGGGAGGGCGCCTGTCTGATGTCTACAGGGAGGGTGTTCCACAGCCGGGGGGCCACCACCGAGAAGGCCCTATCCCTCGTCCCCGCCAGGCGTGCCTGTGAGGCAGGCGGGATCGAGAGAAGGGCCTCCCCAGACGATCTCAAAGTCCTCGTGGGCTCATAGGCCGAGATGCGGTCAGACAGGTATTTTGGGCCGGAACCGTTTAGGGCTTTGTAGGCCAGCACCAGCACCTTGAATTGGGCCCGGTAGCAAATCGGCAGCCAGTGGAGCTGGAACAACAAGGGCGTTGTGTGCTCCCTGCGTCCCGCTCCTGTTAATAACATGGCTGCCGCGCGCTGGACTAACTGAAGCTTCCGGGCCGTCTTCAAGGGCAGCCCCACGTAGAGAGCGTTGCAGTAGTCAAGCGGGATGTGACCAGAGCGTGTACCACCGTGGCCAAGTCAGACTTCCCGAGATACGGGCGCAGCTGGCGCACGAGCCGGAGCTGTGCAAATGCTCCCCTGGTCACCGCTGAAACCTGGGGATCCAGGCTCAACGATGAATCCAGGGTCACACCCAAGCTGCGAACCTGCGCCTTCAAGGGGAGTGCGACCCCATCCAGCACAGGCTGTAACCCTATACCCTGTTCGGCCTTGCAACTGACCAGGAGTACCTCTGTCTTGTCTGGATTTAATTTCAATTTGTTCGCCCTCATCCAGACCATTACAGCGGCCAGGCACCGGTTCAGGACCTCGACAGCCTCCTTAGTAGCAGGTGGAAAGGAGTGACAGAGTTGGACATCATCTGCGTACAGATGACACCGCACCCCGAAACTCCGGATGATCTCACCCAGCGGCTTCATGTAGATATTAAACAGCATGGGGGACAGTTTAGAGCCCTGTGGAACCCCAACAGGTCAAAGGCTGTGGCGTTGAACAGGTGTCCCCCAATAACACCTTCTGGGTGCGGCCCTCCAGAAATGACTGGAGCCACTGCAGAACAGTGCCCCCGAGGCCCATTTCCGCAAGACGCCCCAGAAGGATACCGTGGTCGACGGTATCGAAGGCTGCTGAGAGGTCCAGGAGCACCAACAGGGACACACTCCCCCTGTCTAGCTCCCGGCGCAGATCATCCACTAAGGTGACCAAGACCGTCTCAGTTCCATGTCCCGGTCTGAAACCAGACTGTGCCGAATCCAGATAATCTGTGTCTCTCAAGAATACCTGGAGTTGTGAGGCCACCACGCTTTCCATGACTTTGCCCAAAAAGGGAAGATTGGAAACAGGCCGAAAGTTGTCAAATTTGGTGGGGTCCAGTGATGGTTTTTTCAACAGCGGTTTTA